GGGGTGGGGTAGGCTTCCCTGAAGAGATGGGTTTTCAGGGTGCGCCTAAAGGAGAGGAGAGTAGGTGATAATCTGATGGGTTGGGGAAGGGAGTTCCAGAGGATGGGTGACACCCTGGAGAAGTCCTGAAGGCGGGCATGGAAGAGGAGACCAGGGAACTAGAGAGAAGGAGGTCTTGTGAGGAGCGGAGTGTGCGTGCTGGGGCGGTACTTGGATATTAGGTCAGTGATGTAGTTCGGGGCAGTATGGTGGACAGCTTTGTACGTCAGTGTTAGGATTTTTAAATTTGATCCGTTGCGCAATCGGAAGCCAGTGGAGGGATTGGCAGAGGGGGGTGGCGGAAATGGAGCGGTTGGAAAGGTGAATGAGTCTGGCAGCCGTATTCAGGATGGACTGAAGCGGGGATAGCCAGCGGCGAGGCAGGCCAGTGAGGAGGGAATTGCAGTAGTCGAGTCATGATATGATGAGGGAGTGGATGAGCTGTTTAGTGGTTTCTGGGGTTTAGGAACGTGCGAATTTTGGCGATGTTGCGGAGGTGGAGTCTGCACGAGTTTGTTAAAGATTGGACTTGGGGCTGGAAGGATAGGTTGGAGTCCAGAATGACACCCAGTACTCTGGCCTGCAGAGCGGGTTTGATATTGGCGTTGTTGGATGTGATGTAGAAGTCAATGGGGGGTGGGGTTCGGGCTGGGGGGAAGACAAGGAGCTCGGTTTTGGAGAGATTCAGTTTAAGGAAGTGGAGTGACATCCAGTCTGATATGTCGCTCAGTAGGTGTGTGATTTGGGCAGAGACCGAGGGGGTGAGGTGGGGGGTTGAGAGATAGATTTGTGTGTCGTCGGCATAGAGGTGGTAGTTGAAGCCGTGAGAGTGTATGAGTTGGCCAAGGGAGGAGGTGTAGATGGAGAAGAGAAGGGGCCCGAGGACAGAGCCTTGAGGGACCCCAACAGAGAGGGGGAGTGAGGGGGAGGTGGTAGCATTATAGGTAACGCTGAAGGAGCGTTGTGACAGGTAGGATGAGAGCCAGGAGAGAGCAGAATCTCTGAGGCCGAGGGAGTGTAGTATTTTGAGGAGGAGGGGGGTGGTCAACTGTGTCGAAGGCCGCAGAGAGGTCAAGGAGTAGGAGCACTGAATAGTGGCCATTAGCTTTGGCGGTTAGAAGGTCGTTGGAGAGTTTGAGTAAGGCGGTTTCGGTGGAGTGTAGGGGACGGAAGCCAGACTGTAGGGGATCGAGGAGGTTGTTGTTGTTGAGGTGAGAGCATAGGCGGGTGTAGACGAGGCGCTCGAGGAGTTTTGAGATGTAAGTGGGAGCAGAGAGATGGGTCTGAGGGTTGTTCGGGTCATTGGGGTCCAGGGAGGGCTTTTAAGTATGGGGGTGATGTGTGCATGCTTCAGTGGGGAGGGGAAAGTGCCGGGGGAGGAGAGGGAGAGATTAAAGATGATGGGTGAGGGAGCGTAGGATGGAGGGGGGGGGAGGTCGTAGGAATTGTGAGGGGATAGGGTCGAGGGGGCAGGTGGTGAGGCGGGCATCAGAGAGGATCTTGGAGACTTCCTCGATGGTAGTAAGGTCAAAGGTGTGGAGTGTTGGGGGAGCTTCAGTATGAGGAATGTAGGGTGGGTGGGAGTGGAGGTCAGAGCAGTGGTGGGGCCGTGGGAGAGGGGTGATGAGGGGGTAGCTGAGTGAGGGGGAACAGGGTTGGAGGGAGTTTGAGCAGTGACGAAGTCCCTGGGGTAATGTTGAGGGGGAGGGGGGATGAGGGGGTAGCTGTGTGAGAGGGGGACGGGTTGAGAGGGCGTGTGAGTTGCGGCAGAGTGTCCTTGCGAATTGTGTCAATCTTGTTTTTGAAGTGATTGGCGATCTCAAGGGCGGTGAGTGAGGGGTGCTGGGTGGAGGTGGGGGTGGAGAGAGTAGAGAGTTGAAGGTGGAGAAGAGTCGGCGAGGATTGGAGGAGAGGGCCTTGATGAGGGTCAGGAAGTAGGCTTGTTTTGGCTGCGTGGAGGGAGGGAGGAGGAGGTGTAGGTGCGGAAGGCAGATTTGTAGCAGGTGAAAGCTTGTTGGGATTTTGTTTTGTGCCCATAGTCGCTCCTGGCAGTCTGCCAGAGCTGGAGCGGTCGGAGTCTGATGTTGCGTGTGGTTAAAGGCGCTAGTGAGTCAAGGGCTGCTGACAGCGCGTTGTTGTAGGCAGTCATAGCCAAGTCGGGGCAGGACAGGGGGAGGATGCGGTCGTGGAGTTGATCAGCTGCAGAGTGGAGGGGGGCAGGGTTAAGGTTGCGGAGGTTACGGCTGGTAGTAGTGTGACATTTGGAGGGGTAGGCGTTGGAGGACGAGGAGATAGAGAAGGTGATCAGGTTGTGGTCAGAGAGAGGGAAGGGGGTGTTAGTGAGGTTGTGGGGAGCGCAGCGGTGGAGAAGACGAGATCAAGGATATTACCGTCGGAGTGGGTGGTGGATTGTATGCACTGTGCAAGTGTAAAGGAGGATGTTAAGTGGAGGAGACGGGCTGTGTCTGGGTTGTCAAGGTTGACAGGGATGTTGAAATCTCCAAGAATGATGGTGGGTAGCTCAGAGGAGAGGAAGAAGGGTAGCCAGGAGGAAAAGTCATCCAGAAAGCGGGGTATGGATCCAGGAGGCCGGTATATCACAGCAATCTTCAGGGGGGTTGGGGAGAATAGTCGGACGCAGTGGGCCTCGAAGGAGAAGAAGGATAGGGAGGGGGGGTTTGGGAGGACTCGGAAGGTGCTCTGCGGTGACAGGAGCAGACCAACCCCACCACCTTTACGACCGTTAGGTCTGGGTGAGTGGGTCCAGGTGAGACCTCCATAGGAGAGTGCAGCAGGGGAGGTAGAGTCAGTGGGCTGGATCCAGGTTTCCGTGATCGCCAGGAGGTTGAGGGAGCGGGAAACAAAGAGGTCGTGGATGGCGGTAAGCTTGTTGCACACCGATCGGGCGTTCAGGAGTGCACATGAAAACGGGGGGGGAGATTTTAGGGAGCAGGTGGACAGATACTAGGGGTTACGGTAGGACATGGAGGCGGGAGGGTGTTGTGCGGGTGAGGGAGGTGGTGGAGGGCCAGGATTCGGGGAGATGTCCCCCGCGGCTAGGAGGAGGAGAAGGGTGAGAAAGGTGGCATGGGAGCGGGATGTGCAGGAGCGTGAGAAACTCCTAGTGGAGGTGTTCGGGTCAGAGGGAGAGTGGAGTAATAGGAGGAGGTGGTGGGTGCCATAGAGGGGCGAAGGAAGCAGTGAGGACACAATATACAAATGTTTAGGAGGAGCAGAGGGATATAGTGAATGGATTTTGGGAATGGAGGAGAGGAAAATGAGAAGGAGTAGAAGAGGCATTTTGGGGGGTGATGAGAGCAGTAGTAGGGAGATGATAGCAATGAGGGGGAGATGTGCAAGTTTTGGGGTGGAGCAGAGGGGTAAAGAAATGAGATTTGGGAACAGAGGATAGTAGTATGAAGAGGAGAAGAGGGGGTGTATTATATAAAGGTACACAGAGTGGGACTCAGGCATGTAAGAGATGTTTCCCAGGGTGTTTGCTTGCAGTCTGTCCAGCATGCAGTAGAGTTTCTTGCTGTTGTTGTGTCTTTCTGCTGCCTAAGTTCTCCTGCTTTAGTTCAACTGCTGTGTTTAACTGCTTCGCACTCTTTCGAAGCCGCACTCCATCATAAGCAGCACCCCCATCAGAGACTGTGCCCCCCATCAGAGATCTTCCCGCATGAGCTGATCTAAATTTATAGGGAGATGCTCAAATGAGCATTCAACTCCACCCCAATTAGAAGCTGATAAGGCTCACATGAATAGTGGGGGATGTCTCATAGGAACCAGGCTACAGTCGTAAACTGGGTGTAACTGGAGGTGAGGACTGCTCAACATACACACAAATATAAATACACCATTTGTTCTGAATATAACAGGAGTGAAAGCGATTTTGAGTTAGGAGTGGAGGTAGGAGAGATGCATTTACCCAGGGGGAAAACAGCAGGAGTCAATGCGTTTGAGTTAGGAGTGGAGGTAGGAGAGATGCATTTACCTGTGAAAGTAGAGAAGGCATAATTAGATTGCTGTGTTTAACTGCTTCGCACTCTTTCGAAGCCACACTCCATCAGAAGCAGCACCCCCATCAGAGACTGTGCCCCCCATCAGAGATGGTGATCATATCCCCCCTTATGTATTATACATGGAGATCATATCCCCCCTTATGTATTATACATGGAGATCATATCCCCCTTATGTATTATACATGGAGATCATATCCCCCCCTTATGTATTATACATGGAGATCATATCCCCCCCTTATGTATTATACATGGAGATCATACCCCCCCCTTATGTATTATACATGGAGATCATATCCCCCCTTATGTATTATACATGGCGATCATATCCCCCTTATGTATTATACATGGTGATCATATCCCCCCTTATGTATTATACATGGAGATCATATCCCCCCTTGGGTATTATACATGGAGATCATATCCCCCCTTATGTATTATACATGGAGATCATATCCCCCCTTAATCATATCCCCCCTTATGTATTATACATGGAGATCATATCCCCCCCTTATGTATTATACATGGAGATCATATCCCCCCTTATGTATTATACATGGAGATCATATCCCCCCTTATGTATTATACATGGCGATCATATCCCCCTTTAATCTCCTCTTCTCAAGAAAGAATAAATTTAGTTCTTTTAATCTTTCCTCATAGCTGATCCCCTCCAGGATGTTATTCCCCGGCACAGCTTGGTGTCATCTGCAAAGACTGAAATGGGATTTATAATCCCAGACCCTATATCGCTTATAAATATATTAAAAAGTAAGGGTCCCAACACTGAACCTTGGGGTACCCCACTAATAACACTGAACCTTGGGGTACACCACTAATAACACTGATCCTTGGGGTACACCACTGATGACCCCAGACCATTCAGAGTATGAATCATTAACCACTACTTTTTGAATACGATCTTTTAGCCAGTTTTCTATCCATTTAAATACAGATTTTTCCAAGCCCATAGACTTTACCTTACACATTAGCCGTGTGTGGGGAACAGTGTCAAACGCTTTTGCAAAATCCAAGTATACCACGTCCACTGCCACCCTTCTGTCCAAGTATACCACGTCCTCAGCCACCCCTCTGTCCAAGTATACCACGTCCAACGCCACCCCTCTGTCCAAGTATACCACGTCCACCGCCACCCCTCTGTCCAAGTATACCACATCCACCGCCACCCCTCTGTCCAAGTATACCACATCCACAGCCACCCCTCTGTCCAAGTATACCACATCCACAGCCACCACTCTGTCCAAGTATACCCCATCCACAGCCACCACTCTGTCCAAGTATACCACATCCACCGCCACCCCTCTGTCCAAGTATACCACATCCACAGCCACCCCTCTGTCCAAGTATACCACATCCACAGCCACCACTCTGTCCAAGTATACCACATCCACCGCCACCCCTCTGTCCAAGTATACCACATCCACAGCCACCACTCTGTCCAAGTATACCCCATCCACAGCCACCCCTCTGTCCAAGTATACCCCATCCACAGCCACCCCTCTGTCCAAGTATACCACATCCACAGCCACCCCTCTGTCCAAGTATGCCACCCCTCTATCCAAGTATACCACGTCCATCGCCACCCCTCTGTCCAAGTATACCACGTCCACAGCCACCCCTCTGTCCAAGTATACCACATCCACCACCACCCCTCTGTCCAAGTATACCAGGTCCACAGCCACCCCTCTGTCCAAGTATACCAGGTCCACAGCCACCCCTCTGTCCAAGTATATCACATCCACCACCACCCCTCTGTCCAAGGTTTTGCTCGCCTAAAAAAAAATCAGATTTTTTGACAACTTCTGTCTTTCATGAATCCGTGCCATCTGTTGCTTAAAACATTTTTTTCCAGCAAGAACTCATCTATGTGGTCTTTTAATAAACTCTCCAGTATCTTCCCAACTATAGAAGTTGCACTAAAAGGTCTGTAATTACATTTATATTTTAAAAATGTGCTAAGATGTAACTTATAGACATAGAAATGAAAAAGTGAATGTCTTCCTTGTACCAAATATTTTTTAGGGTCCTGTGACCAAAAAATAATTTTTTTTTTAGATGGTCGTCATAAAAATGAGTGGAACTTATTGTATTCTGTAGTGGTGATGTAATTGTACCCGGGCATCTTAAAAGTCCCATCCTTTCCTTTTTGTATTTTGACCATTTACATTCTATTTAATCCTCACCTTTTATTTCACTGGAAGTAGCGGACTGCCAGATCTGCCAAAAACTAAATTAGAACTGTGTTTAATTTTTTTAGACTAAAATGAAATTTATGTGGAATGTACTTTGTCAGCTTTTCTGTAGGTCAAACAGTCTGACCTTGGCCCGTTCACAGCTTGACAAAAAAATTGTGTATTTAATCACGGCTAAAAAGCGACGTGACATTGAATTCATTGGGAAGGGTCTCTTCTGTTCAGCTGGCCTATATATAATTCATGAAGATATCGCGGCTTCTTGTATACAAATTGCCTCACTCCAATTTACATCTGTCACTCCTCTCATGATGAGAATAACATGACATATGGGCTAATCTTTCAACAATTACATTCTGAAGACTTTTTTTTTTCCAGCCGAATTTTCTTCAGCAATATTACAATAATCTGCACTGCTCTAGGAAACACTAGGAAGGTTACAAGGAATAATGGAGGATAATATAGACGTAAAATGACATATGGCGTACATGTTCGCTCATGTCTGCCTTTCAGTTATATATTTACAAGATATGTAACAAGGTGAATTTATGAAATTATGCTTTTATTGGCTTGCTCGCTGCCGTTTATGACTGACATTCACAGTAAATCAGATTTTCCCAACCATTTTACTCTAGAGAAAACCTGGAAATTATATTTTAGTCAAGTAGAAAACAATTCATTGGGGGTCAGTTGGAAAAATACACCTTGCATTTGTTGTGCAGTGGGATGCATAGACAAGGGATCGTTAACTATTACCATACTTGAGCTGGGAAACTGTGTGGCATAATGAAGTTCCTAGCGAGGGCCCTGGAGTTCCCACAGCAGACGGAGAAGAACATAGAGAACTAAAGGAACCTGGAGGAAGCCCAGCCTTAATACAATTCCAACTCTTAACCTGCTCCATCTCCTGTTAAATCCCTAATCCCAGATCCATGACTCAGAGTAGTCCCTCATTAGTATGGGATGATCCAAGGCCACAACAGGTTCCTTGAAGCCAGTTACTGATCTACTGTAGAGTAGATGAGGTAACGACAGTCAGTAAGATGTTCCAAGTTTGGAACAAGTTGCAGATGTTCCTTATTAGGAGAAAAAGAGTAGCAGAGAAAGAGTAGTCCTGTGTCCACATGGATAAGTCAAGGATAAGTCAACTCAGTGAAGCATTCAGCCTTACATCCCAGTTGTTCTAGGGCTCCCATCATATGAGAAACAGACACCAGCATCTTCTAAACTTAAATGATGACTTTTGGAGGATCCCAAATCAAAGAAGTAGCTCTAATTTTTCCATCTGCTTGTGGCTTCTAGCCCCAATACCCTTTCCCTCAACTAGGGAAAGCATGCAGCCTTACATCCCAACAGGGAGTCATCCTAGCACTCACCCAAATGGGAAATGAACACCTGGGTCCTGAACCTACGTCGTGGAGGGTTCCATCTCAAAGAATTAACTCTACTTTTTCCAGTTTCTGGTGGCTTCTAGCCCTTGGGACCTTCTCTTCAACTGAGGAAAGCATGGATTCTTACCTCCAAGCTGGGAGTCGTCCTAGCACTCCCCCCAAATGGAGAGTGGACATCAGGGTGTCCTGAACCTACATGGTATAAGGTTCCACCTCAAAGAAATAACTAATTTTTCCAACTATTGTTTGCTTCTAGCCTCTGAGACCCCTCCCAGGTCTCCTAAACTCCTCCAAATCTGGGACACCCAAGGGAGGACCTTTGTCATTAAGGACTGCACCCCTTAACACACAGTGAGAAGAATGGCACCTATACAGACAGCTAAAATGATCATTGGTGTCATGCTGCTGGCTTTTCCAAGTGACGTTGACCCTGGAACTATGTAAGCACAATCAAATGGGAAATAAATCAGCCACAGCTCAAGGAACCCCCTAGCAACCTTTGGAGGAACCCTGACTGAGAATGGTTGCTGTAAGCGCTTTTTTTTGCAATGGAACCGGAGAGAGCTAATTGAAAGTACATGTATTATATATAGATATAAGGAAAGTATGAGATTGCACTTGCTAAGTTAAAGCTTATATAAACCCAGAAAAAGAAATGTAATAAACTGCAAATAAATAGAAAAGAAGTAGCCAAAGAATCTCTCTTCATCAGGTCCTTACTTAACGATCAGTGACTGCTGCCCCTCTGCCAATCTCTTCACTGGCTTCCACTAGCCCAACGTATCCACAACATGACCCCCAGCTACATCACCAACCTCATTTTCAGATATTGGCCAAACTGTCCTCTCTGCTCCTCCCAAGACCTCCTGGTCTCCAGTTCCCTTGTTATCTCCTCCCACACTCCCCTCCAGGATTTCTCCAGAGCCTTTCCCATCGTTTGGAACTTCCTGCCCCAGTATGCCTGCTCAGCTCCTATCCTGTCTGTCGTTAGTCGATCATTGAAAACTCATTTATCAAGGCAAGCCTACCCCATCTCCACCTAAGAACTTTACCCAAATCACCTCCTTCAGATCATCCTCCGCAGCTATCACCTTTTGCACCACCTCCCTCTCCATTTAGATTGTAAGCTCAATGAGCCGGGCCCTCTTATTCCTTCTTTATTGAACTGTATTGTAATTGTACTGTCCCCCTTTATATTGTAAAGCACTATGTAAACTGTTGTTACTATATAAATCCTGAATAATAACTTGGGCTTAGTGGCTAGAATTCTCATATGGACTATAATAGATTCTACCGGAAGGGGATAATATAGGCAAGTAAATGAAAAGTGCTCAGTGACTCTGTAATGGCAAGACGTGGGTAGACCTTGAAACCCTTGTCCTCAAAAATAATCTGTTATTGCTCCTTCATAGATACAGTGCAGGGAGTGAGTGTTGCCACCCCTAGGGCAAGAAATGTGTTACTGGCAGGATCACCAGATGAAAATAAAGGAAAATTGGGCTAAAAAAAAGAAAACTAATTTAGCCACCACATTATTATTATTATTATTATACAGTATTTATAAAGCGCCAATAGTTCGCTCAGCGCTGTACATTACAGAGGGGGACAGAACATGTGACAGAACAATAACAATACAATGCAAAACATGAGGGGATTGAGGGCCCTGCTCCTTGGAGCTTACAATCTAGGAGGGAGGGGATGGTGGCACAGAAGGAGATAGCTGTGGGGATTGAGTGGTAGGAAGAGTGGAGAAGGTCGGCAGGTTAGCAGGGGGTGGGGTAGGCTTCCCTGAAGAGATGGGTTTTCAGGGTGCGCCTAAAGGAGAGGAGAATAGGTGATAATCTGATGGATTGGGGCAGGGAGTTCCAGCGGATGGGTGACACCCTGGAGAAGTCCTGGAGGTGGGCATGGGAGGAGGAGACCAGGGAACTATAGAGAAGGAGGTCTTGTGAGGAGCGGAGTGTGCGTGTTGGGTGGTACTTGGATATTAGGTCAGTGATGTAGTTCGGGGCAGTATGGTGGACGGCTTTGTACGTCAGTGTTAGGATTTTGAATTTGATCCGTTGCGCAATCGGAAGCCAGTGGAGGGATTGGCAGAGGGGGGTGGCGGAGACGGAGCAGTTGGAAGACACCACATCTAAGGACTAGTAAGCTGCAATAAATTGCATGTTTATTATTGGTTTAGAAACACTTTAAAGCTGAGCTCTAGTCAAAGAACGTCTGTAAGTATGCAGTCAATTTTGTTTTTTTTTTTTTTTACAATGAGGCTAATGTGGGAGTATTTTGGCACAAGAACATATTTAGGATGGCTGAAAGAAGCTTCTATAACCTTCAGTAGCCAATCATATCTCACTGAGTCCTGGTTCACACTGATGTGGTGCAGAGTTTGCAGCATTTTTCCGCACTGCATCAGAATCGCACCCCATTCATGCGAACAGCCGCGGGTGTGTATGATATGTTAACAACACCCCAAAAGCGGTTCGCAAAACACGGTGTGATGTGCAGAATCGGATCACATAGGTGTGAATATCCATGCGATCCGATTCTAGTGCGGACCAAAAAAAAGGGTCCTGCACATTGGTGCGGGTGCGGTGCGATTAGAGCCATACAAAATGTACGGCTCTGATCGCACCGCACACAAATCGTATGTGATTTTCACAGGAATGCGGTGCAGTTCCTGTACAAATCACATGCGATATACCGCACCGCATCTATGTGAACCCGGACTTAATCCTTACAAGTCACCAAAAATCACCTTAATCCACGTTTCCCATCAGCATCACTGAAACTTCTGAATCTCAGTAAGTCCTCACTCCTTTTTAGTAAAGAAAAAAAAATTGCAGACATTTTATCTTTTATTTTTCCAATAAAGTTAATAAAGCTTGAAAAAAAATAAACAAACGTGAAACAGAATAAAGAAAAAAACTGTTGCGCACAATCACAATCTCTTTCCCAGAAGCTTAAAGTAAACTCTAGAAAAGGTTTTCTTTTTTTCTGATTCCCCCCCCCTTGTTAAAAAAAAAAAAAAAAAAATCAAAGTATCTACTTACCCTCTCCACACTCAAGTGAAGTCCCAAACTTCCTCCTCAGGCCAGCAATAGAGGTTCTCTTCAGGACAGAACACTTTTTTACTCTGCCCTTTTCATTTGAGCCCAGGCTGTCATTAGTCCCCACCACCCCATCCCCAGGTGAAAGGTCAT